GTTGAACTGAGAAGTCGCAAGCTTTGATGTTTCACTCTGTAATCCCAACTGATCTACTTACAGACACTGGATGCCGAGATAGCGATTTACAGAAAGATGCTTGAGGGCGAGGGTGATGGACCGGGCCTTAAACAGCTTGTTGAACAGGTCGTCCGCACTACCGGTATCAATGAAGTTGCTGACACAGGTTCATCTTTCTCCTACAAAAGCCATCTAATTCAGCTCACCTTTTTTGCGTTGCACGAAGTTTTACATTTTTTTCCTCACTGGGCTTCGAAAGGCCCAGGAAGGTCATATGTTCGGGACTCTTCTGACGCCTATTTCTGTCGGGAAAAGTTATCTTTCGTCTCTTCACGATTTTTGTTTCAGTTTATACACTTTCTTCAGACTACTGAGGCTGTCTGGCAGCTGAAATGCGATTGAAGCAACCAACGAAATACCAATAATACCAAAACTAACTGGAGAATTTTACGAGAATAATCCTTCGTATGAGCAAATGTAAAATTAGGGAATTTATTTTAGAAACAATGCGTGTTGTGAAAGGTGAAACATCCTCTCGTACGTCGTACACACGTTCCGCGAAAGGCAATGTTTCCATTCATGAGACATCGCCGGATGGCAAGTTTATTGTGTTGGAGAATACTCATCGCTCGAAAGAGGAGCCAATCGGTGAATGGAAGCTGAAACGAAAGATTGACGGGAAACGTGAAATTATTTACACGCTCCCACGAGATTTCATTTTGAAACCGAGCAAGAGTGTTAAGGTCAGTAAAATAATCATCATTTCGAGGATCGAGTTTTGGAGTATGCCGACGCTGCTTCTCCATTTTCTATCATTTCGATGATGACATAACTTACAGATTTGGGCTCGCGGACAAGGCGGAATCCACGCACCACCCGAGCAGCTTATCTTCGATGCCGAAGAGACATTCGGGGTGGGCAGTAACGTGCAGACTATCCTTTACAACAAGGAGGGCGAGGTTTGTGCTCATTTTTTTTATGCGTTTTTTGCAGCAGTGCAATGCGAAAAACGCATATTGACGAGAGGTTGTCTGTGCGTCTGTGTGTGCGTCTGTGTGTGCGTCTGTCACGCACTTTCATCTCAGGACCTAGGAAAGTTGCGGCGCTGAAATTTCCGGAACTTAATCTACATGCAGGTACCTCCCCCAATTCCCAAAATGGGCGCCAAAACCCGCGTGGTACCCACTACGGGCTCGCCAAAGTTTTCATACTCGAGGATCTGAGAAGTTAGAAGGCTGAAGTTTTGGGGTAATGTTCCCCGCCCAAGCGGGTATTAGTGGGCTCAAACCCAGCCTCTGAGTAAGCATGGTACCCGCGTACGAGCCCGCCAAAATTTTTTTCAGGTAAGTTTATAACTCAGGGATCTGAGAAGCTGGAAGGCTGAAGTCTTGGGGTAGTGTTCTCCGCCCAACCGGATATTAGTGGGCTCAAGCCCAGCCCCCGGGTAAGTGAGGTACCCGCGTACGAGCTCGCCAAAATTTTTTTCGGGTAAATTGATAACTCAGCTACCTGAGAAGCTAAAGGAATGTAATTTTAAGAAGATATACCCCGTCCGCTTAAGTTTCATTCAGCTCGAACCTGGCTCTCAGGCATGCTTCGT